AAGTGACTTTCACAGACAATGAAGTGTGCGTAGCCATACATCCACCTTTGTGAACCTATGAATTATATTTGTATGAGTTTCTACATGTGTAGAAAACGAGGTGCTTTTGTAAATGTGTTCAGATACGAAGCAGAAAACTGTGTCTGAACCTCTGTGATGCTGATCTGATCAGAACTACGTTTGACATCGTCTCCTGAACCTCTTCAATCTGTCCTTTCAGAGGACAGACTGCAGGTCCTGAAAGGTGAAGCACATTATAGCGTAGACGATGATTCAGGTGCTTCTGGAAGCCGGTGGGTCAGATGATGCTGGAGAAGGTGCAGCTGGACTAATCTGTTAGTCAGTCAGCATCTCGTAGCTGCAGAAGCTCTGAGCAGCTGATGACCTCGGTTCTCATCATATATATATATATATATATATATATATATATATAAAAGACACACATTGAGAGTTTGTGCACTGTGTTCATGCAGCGTTACGACAGCGTCTCTGTCCGTCTCCTCATCACAGCAGAGTTGGACAGCAAAGCTTATTTAGGCGCTAAAGCCAGCGTTCATTGTGCCACAGATCTGACACAAGCTGACACTAAACCAGCTGAAGAGCTGGACCCCAGAGATGGACAGCAGGGTCCTGAGACCTGACGTGTCCGGTTTGGACCACTGATGAAGTCCAGACTGATTCTGTTCTGCAGACAAAAGACAACAATTGCTCCTCCAGTGCAGCTGTAGATCCAGAGCTGACGAAGAGGCTGAACAGGTGCAGCTCCGCAATCTGTGGCTGTAAATCAGTGAGCATTTGGAAACACTGATGTGTTTCAGCTGGTTGTTGGACTGACGGGGATCAACTGGAACATTTTACATATCAGCCAGATCCGACTGAATTCAAATGTTGACTACATGTCAAAGCACCGGATGCCTTCTTGCTGAACTTACTGATGTCGCCTCTGTCTTTAGTTAAGTTTATAGCTGTGCTGATGGTTAGGGGTTGGATTATCTGCCCAGCTAGTGGTTGACGTTTGGAGCAGGAAGCAGAACCCGAACTCTCACTCATCATTTTCACAGAACAGCCCAGCATGCAGTATATTCAGAACTCACCCTACACCAGCTACCAACAACCACCGAAGAAAAGGAAAAGTTCTGCTACAGTTTCTAGCTGCTGCTGACTCACAGGCACCACCTGGTGGTGGAAAACGAGCAACGCATTTCCACACAGCAGACTTAGGAAAGCTGCCAAAGTCAGTACATTTAGAATGTAAAGCTAAAGACTGTTAAAGCAGAAATAGATAGAATAGAAATGGAAAGAATGCACAAATTCATGAATAAATCTCAGGGTTCAGGGTAAAATATGATGATGTTGATAAATGGTGAAACACCTGTAGCATGTGGAGTGTCCATGTTGTACAGTGTTGGTAGAACCTGTGGACCCTGGAACCACGTTGGACATGTTGAGTCCAGGTTTTGTTCATTTGTTTTTGCAGTTTTTGTAAAATCCATAATCCATGATGTTTTTTTGTTTTGTCCCCTATCTCCATGGTTCTGAGTCCTGCTGCCAGAAGATGTGTCTGAGTTCTCTCTCCTCCTCCTTCATGTTCTGGTTCCTCAGAGCTGCAGGACTTTATGCTGGAACAAGAACCTCAGAGAAGGACCAGGAAACAGGAGCAAATAAAAATCCAGAAGCTACTCAGAGTTGTGTTGTAAGGCAGCGGTGGAGCAGTATTATGTATTTGTTTAGCTAATGAGCTGATTGTATTCGTCTGTATGAATGAGGCATTTCATCTTCTGTGTAAAACAGCAGAAATAACGGCAGACATGAACCGTCCAGCAAACAGCAGACACACCAGCAGGGCTTCATCTGTTCAGCTGAAATAAATAAAAGCTCCAGTCTGTCCAGGTGCTTTCTGATCATATATGTTGTAGATATATTCGTATTTCATGCATTTGACTGCTGAATTAAATAAACCTCACCTTGGTTCTAAACCTGAGATCCACACATTGATTGTTATTGAGCCAGCAGCTGTAATGTGGATATGCTGACTGTCATGAGCCTTTATGCAAGTTTTCCTCAAGCAAACAAGACAGTGACGTTTGTTCTGCAAAGTATTGTTTGAACAGCAAAAGGCTTCCGTTAATCATTATTTAGACTTTCTTTATATCCTCGTTCAAGTATATGGATAAACATGGCTGGGTTTCTGATTACACAATAATCACAGCAGAAAATGTTTTTTAAAAATTGTTTAACGAGGAGAGAAGACCTCCGGCGTTCATCCCAAAAAACAAACCAGGCATGAAGGTGACAAAGATTCCCACTGCTGTGATGTTACAGGTAAAGTTCAGATCCCTCAGAGGAACCTCACAGGAACCTTGTTGAAGCAGAAGCAGACCTGAGTGGTTCTCTCTCAGCGTCAGAAGGGTTCTTACGAGTGTCCAGAGCTGCTCCACAGACACTGAATTAGAGACTGATTCTTACCTGTAGAACCGCTGGAGGTCACGAGTGAATCGCAGGCAGGAAGAACTACAGAGTTCTGTAACAGGAGTTCATTTTTAGGATTCATCTCACCTATTTTAATCCCACAGTGCATCTCCCAGCGGTTCCTAACTGGACCCTCCAGTACCCCTACCATCACTGGGATCATCATTCCTCTGTCACTAAAGGAGGCAGCACGGGATCTCAACAGGTCATGATCGTAGAAAACAGTTGATCATTGGTGGGAGAAGCAGATTACCAAACAAACAAAGACCAGAGAACTTGTTTGGCCCGGGTTCTGCTCTCCACCAGCTCACCGGCCGGGCCAGACGAATGGACCACATTAAAACATCAGCAGAGTAGCTGACGGACCAGCGATGCTCTGCAAGGAAGCAAATATTAATCTACAAACATTTAATTACAACAAAAATGAAAGACACACCTGTTCAGTGTTTGAAGTACTTGACTGAACTTTAAAACACGTCGTATGTCGATGTGACTTCCAGCTGACTTCAGCCCTTCATGGAAACAGCTCTGAGATACAGTGAACCAGT